TTCCACGGCCACGCTGGCCGAGGAGTTGACGCAGCCCTTGGCGTTGCACACGCTGCACAGGTAGCGGCCAGCGTCCTCCTCGCGCACGCGCTGGATGCTCAGCTTCTGGTTCGAGTCGGCCAGATCGATCCCTGCAGGAGGCGGGTGCAGGTTCAGGTCTAGAGGGGCCTGGGGCCTGGGCCTCCCGGGCCTCCACACTCGCTCTGCGCTCTGCGCCCGGGCCCTTCCCTACCGGACTTTTCCTCCAGCGGCCGCTCGTCCTTGTACCACATGATGCTGGGCACGTGCGTCCCGGCCACGGGGCACCGCATCTCCAGGGAGTCGCTCACGTTCACCAGGAGGTCGGTCAAGTTCTGGGTAAGCCGGGGGGCTTCCAGGGCTGCGGGCAGGAGGCAGGAAGGGGCAGAGTGGAGGGCAGGAGCCCAGGGCTCGGGGAAGGGGCTCTCCAGAGAGGAGAGGGTGGCGGGGAAGCTGGAAGGAGGGGCGGGTGTGAGAGCGGGTGGCAGGGGGCACTCCCGCAGACCCGGGCCCTGTCGCTCACCTTGCACTGACAGGTACTTCTTGTGGCAGTGCTTGTCCTGGCTGTGCCGGTCCTGCACCTCGCACACGTAGTCGCCCTCGTGCTCAGGTGTCACGTGGGGGATGGTGAGGCTGAGCGTGGCGTGGCGAGCCCCCGGCGCTGCCTCTTCCAAGGTGGCGGCCAGCGGCGTGGCGAACAGGTGCACGTTCTTGCAGTCGAGCAGCAGCGGGTTCCCGTGGGCATCGTGCAGCGTGGACAGGTTGAGGCGGTACCAGCGCAGATGCTCGTACGTGTAGTTGTCAGCCTGGCAGCTCAGGCGCACGGCCTGGCCCTCCAGGGGCTCCTCCGAGGGCTCGGACTCGATGCTGAAGCCGTCGGGGATGGCTGCAGCGGAAGCAGGAGCCGCTGTGACATTGCACAGACACTGACTCACCTGCCAGGTGCTTGCTCTTCCTGGCCCACTGGCCGCTGGACTCACTCAGCTCTCAGCCAACAGGTAGGTCTGGGCCAGGGACACCCCCGGAGTCTTCTTCACCCCTTCACTCCCCCTCACTGACCACTGACCACTGGGGCCAATCCACAGAAGTCAGCCCCACGGGCTCTCCTCCTGCCTCCTTCCAGCTCTCTCCTGGTCGTGCCCCAACCCGGCTGCTGTCCCCCCTCTCCCGTGGCCCCATCATCAGTGATTCCTTGTCACCAGACTCAGTGGGGGCCGGAGTCCCATCCTGCCTCGCTGTTGACCACACCCCACCTCTGTCAGCAGTAGCTTTCTTGCTCCGACTGCCTCTGGCCACTCGCTGTCAGGCTCCTGAGGGCTCCCCCACGCAGTGTCCTCTCTGGCTCCATCTCTCTCCCAGGTCCCCCCACATACACACACACCCCTGGGCCCAGGGACTTCTTTTCACGGGTCCTCAGCTTTCCTGAGGTCACTGACACGTTTGAGAATCCGAGGGAGCTATGGGGCTTCTCCCCAGAGAGAAACACACCCCTGAGCCACCTCTTTAGATCCAGGTCTCGGGAAGGGGTTGGAGGGAGGCAGTTAGGTGGGGGCTTCGGGGAGCAGGGCGACCCCTGGTCGGGGTGCCTCCGGGGCTGAGGGCAGAGGGAGCTACCCCGTCCAGCGGACCAGCATGGTCCTTCAAATCTAGCCCTGTTGCCCAGGCCCAGGGCCCTGGGGCCCTGGGGCCCTGGATAGCTCCCTGGGGTGCTCCACCAGGACCTCAGGGGGCCCCAACCTGGTCCCCTCTTCCTCTCCGGGCTTGTTCTCCTCTCCTGCCCACCTGGTCCCTGACCACCAGGCCCAACCAAGTCACTCACTGGTCACATAGAAGTAGATGAGCCGCTCGTCCTGGCCCACCTTGTTGAAGACCATGCATTTGTACATGGCAGACACGTTGGCATCCTGGATCACCAGCTTGCTCACCGTCTGGGCAAAGCACAGGCAACGGATCTGTTTCCTGCCTGAGTTCCCCACCCGACCTTCCCTTACGCTGTACCCACCAGAGTAATGGGGGACACTGAGGCTCTGAGCTGAGGTGACAGAGTGCAGAGACAAGACCAGGGATGGGAGGCACGGAAGTGAAAGTAAGGCCTTCAGGCAGCAGAGGGAGGGGGCTCCTCGGGAAAGTCAGGGGACCGGGCTGAGGAAGCTGCAGCAGCAGTGGCTGGGGTCAGAGGGTGGCATAGGCAGGGCCAGAAAGACTTCTGGCGGTGGATGTGCCATTTCAGGAGGGGACGGGGGCCTAGTGCTGCCAGGCCAGGCCAGGCCAGGCCAGGGCCAGGATTCAGACTGGGGTCACATCAAGGGTCAGGCTGTGGCCTAAGATGAGCAGCAGGTCACGGTGTGAGATCCTCATGACAAGTGCACCGTTGCCCAGGGCTGCCCACACACCTCTCCCAGGGCCCTGGGGTAGTGGCAAGGGGAGGGGCTGGTCCTAGACACCCAGAAGGATGCTGGCCTTGGGGAGTAGGAAACTGGGAGGCAGGGTAGGCCACAAGCCCTGCCTACCATCCAAAGACCCCCCCCTCCTTTAAGCTGGGCACTTCCTGGCCAGGCCTGGAACAGGAAGAGGCTCTGGAGGTGTGTAGGAAAACAGGAAGTGACCGTAGGAAGTGGGTGCCTTTGTTCAGTCCCCTCCCCTGCCTGGCCGCTTCTCAGCATTGCCCCCAGGCTGGGCCAGTGGCTCAGCCGCCTTTGGTGGGACCAGGCCAGCCCCCAGCCTGGAGCCAGTGGGCAGATGGACCCATGGCCTGGCAGGGCAGCCTGAATCTTATCTTTCTCATTCGGGAAGTGGCCAGGGGTCCTGCCCCCACCCCACCACATGCAGGCAAGGGAGCTGAGGCCCAGACACTGCAAAGAGGTCACCCCTCAGCTGCTGCCTCCAGAGCCCTGCAGGCCTGGTGGGCACCCAGAGGCCAGAGAGGGCCTCTCCTCCCTCCTCCTCTCGTCCAGTCAGTGGCGTGGCTGGCCCCTACCTTATTCCTCCCCTCCACACACTCCGTCCAGGTGTCCAGGCTCTCGATGGGGTTCACAGCGTCCTGCGTGGTCACCTCCCTCCAGTCCCGGCACTGTGGCATGCGGTCCCGCTGTTGTCGCCGGCTGCTGGGGACCAGGGTTGACAAGGGCCCGTCAGAGGTCTGGGCGGGGAGGGCCCCCAAGGGGGTAAGGCTGAGCCTCTGTCATATTCAGGGTCACCTCCTACACTGCGTGGGTGAGGCTGGCCTTTGGCTGGGGTGAGCAAGAGGGCAGAAGCCTTTGTTGCTGGAATACTGTCTCCCGCTCTTTTTTATTTTTATTGATTTCACAGAGGAAGGGAGAGGGAGAGAGAGATAGAAACATCAATGATGAGAATCACTGATTGCCTGTCCTGCACACCCCCCACTGGGGATCAAGCTCACAACCCAGTCTTGTGCCCTTGACCGGAATCAAACCCAGGACCCTTCAGTCTGCAGGCCGACGCTCTATCCACTGAACACACCAGTCAGGGCTGTCTCCCACCCTCTATGTTCAGGGCCCTGCGGGGACTGCCAGACACAGCATTCGGCGGCTCTGTGCTCGCCCCCCAGCATGCTGTACCCACCGCCCCCCACTCGCACGCACCCCTCCTGCAAAGCCCACCAGATCCCCAAGGGCGGCAGTCAGCACTCCCACTCCAGGCACCCCCCTCCCCCCCTCTTTCAGAGCTGCAGCCCTTCCTGGGGCCAGGTGGGACTGGGTCTCCCACTAGGACCTGGGCCCCAAGTGAGGTTCTTGTCTGCCCTGGCAGAGCAGAGTGGCCCTGGGGCCCTGTCAGTCAATAGAGAACATAACGGTGAAGCATCAGAGGGAAGCAGATCTGGAGGTGCCAGCAGTGACCCTCGGCCTGTGTTCTAGAAGAATCTATGAGCCTTGGACATTGTGGGTGGCTCAGGCCCACAGGCCACCCCTTGAGCCTCCCACACTGACCTGCTGAGCTCACAGCCCTATGGGGGCTGCTGCCCTGTCTTGGCCTCCAGCACCTGTCCCTCCCCAGCCTGGACCCTCCCACCTCACAAGGATCTCTTGCTAAATGGCCAATCTGACCTGACACCCCCTGCTCAGCACCCTTCCCTGGCTCTAGGGCAGCGGTTCTCAACCTGTGGGTCGCGACCCCTTTGGCGGTCGAACGACCCTTTCACAGGGGTCGCCTAAGACCATCCTGCATATCAGATATTTACATTATGATTCATAACAGTAGCATTATTACAGTTATGAAGTAGCAATGAAAATAATTTTATGGTTGGGTCACAACATGAGGAACTGTATTTAAAGGGCCAGAAGGTTGAGAACCACTGCTCTAGTGCCTTCCAGACCTCTGCCCACCTCTGTACCCTCCCTTCCGGTCCCCTGCTTGGCCAAGTTGTCTCTGCCCGGAGAGTTCTCCCCAGCTGTCTGCCCTGTTGGCGCCCAAGTCATTGTAAGCGGGCATGGCCAGCAGAGGGGCAGGCTCGCTGCTTACAGCTGTGGCCTTGGCAAAGTCACGTCCCTTCTCAGATCCCGCTCCTCCTCTTAGGGTGACTGTAAGCACTGCACAGAGGAGCTCAGGAGCGAGGCCATGCTGGCTTGCCACGGGGCTCGGCACACGTCTCCTGAAAGCGGCCCAGCTCTGCCCGCCGGGCAGGAGTGTCCCCCTGGACGCCACAGGCACAGTCCTGGGGTCTCTCTGATGATACAGCTCTGGGGGCTTTGCTCTCCAGGCAGCTGGGTGGGCCCGACGGCTGCAGGGGCGTCTGAGCCTTGCTCAGATGGGATGATGCCAGGGGTTGGCTGCGGGGCATGGTGACAGGGTTTGCGTTTAGAGCAGGGCTCTCGGGAGGGGTGCGGGCAGTGAGTGGGGGTCAGGGCTGAGGGTGAGCACAGGGCTGGAGAGTAGGGACACCGGCTGGAGCCACACTCACAGGCTGCGCTGGGCGAAGGTCTTGCAGGGCGTCCACGGCCGCCAGTACCACTGGACGCTGAGAGGAGGGGGCACGCCGTAGGCCGTGCAGGTGAGGGCCTGGCGACTGTGGCGGGAGTAGATGCTGGGGGAGGAGGCCTCCTTCTCGTGGATGTTGGGAGGCACTAGGGGCACAGGCAGGCAGCTGGTCAGCTGGCCCTGGCCACAC